CTATCATTATATTTAAATTTCTACAAACTTTATTTATTGAGATTGAACTTCCATCTGCAATATTTACTTGCAATGTTCTTGAAGCATTTTCCCAATGTTCTTCAGGAATAATATGTTTTGATGATAAACAAAGGATTGCACCTGTATCCACAAAACAATGTATTTCCATTTGTTTTTAACCTGCGAATTTCAATTTACCTTTTATGTAGATTGAATTCGGGTTTGTAATACTGATGACGTTATCCTCACTCACTGTTTTCTGTACTTGATGTTCTTGAAGAGGATTCATCTTCCAATCTCCATAGTATATAGACTTCTTCTATATCTGAATATTCTTCTTCAAGTGGTTCAAGACCAAATGATTCTGCAATCTAAAGAAATTTTACTTTCTCAGATTTTTGTTTGTTAGGACACTCATTTGCGTAGTGACCTTCTATGTTACAGATCCAACATTTGCAATTCTTTTTCCCTTTTGGACAAAGGTTGAAACTTTTGTTTCTTCCTAAAATATTTACCAGGTTTAAAAGTTTTTCTCTTTTTTGTTTTCTGATATTTGTATTTTCTAGAGTATTTTTTCTTAGATTTTTTTTATATGGTTTGCAACCATAATTTGTAGATTTCTCAGAAATTTAAGAACAACAGTTTCTGTTGAATTTCTTCATTTGTTTTTGCTTTGTAGTAGCATTACAATTTTTTTCAATTTCCTCTCTCACGAGTCTTTTGGCATAACCAAAACTATACTTCATTAGATTTTTAGTTGTTTCGTATTTCTTTGAAGCATCATTTCCTACAATAGGATTTTTTGCTAAATGCATTCTAATGTATTCAGAATATTCTCCAAAATCTATTATGAAAAGATTCTTTTCAAAATCACAATTGAATTCGTTAATATAACAAATATCACAAAGAGTCAGATTGTTCAATCATACCTTTGCTTTAGATTGCTCCAGAAGTTTTTCATTTTTCTGCATTTGATACTCGATCAATGCCCAAAAACAAAGTACTTATACTATTCAAAATGCTTTCAAGCATAACTGCAGGGTCTACATTTTGAGTATCCCATTGAACTCTCTTTATAAAATTTTGTGCACTTCCAAGTATTCTATGCTCAGCAAGTGCTAACACAAGTTGTGTTGTGTTGAAAGTACTGGATTAAGATTAATCACAAGTCTCACTTCTAATCCCATTTATCAATTAATTTCTTAATTGTTTCATGTTTCTTACAGTCTAAATCTAGGATTGAGGCTGTATGTACTTCTCTAGCAATACCAGGAATATCGGTATTGTGGAAGCATCATTCTAACTTTTTTTAATTATTCTCTATTTCACAAGACAAACATCCACCATAAGTAATGAAAATATAATCATAATAAAACAAAAATTAATTATAATGTCACAATACTAATATAACTAAAAGAAATAATAAAATGCAACAAATATCCAAAAGTTACATTTCTTTTTCTTGAAGGTAAATAAAGTTTTAAATTAATTGAATAAAATGAATAACAGTTAAATATATAAATTATAATTTATTTTTTTATTCTATTTTGGTTTCTTACATGACAATTACACTATAACAAATCAATCTGAAGTAGTTTGTATAATGTTTCTCTTGTCCATTACTGTCCAAATAAAATACATAAAAATTCTATAAAATAAAAAAAAAATATAGATATCAATATTAAGTTATTTAATTGAAATATTAATTTATAAATTTATTAATTGTAAAATACTATAAACATCTTCTACAATCCAAATAAGATATACAAAAAAGTATACAAAATAACATAATAAACTAAAAGTTGCATATCAATCAACAATGATTTTAATAAAATATTATTCCCTTCCTTTATCCAAAATTTATGAATTGGTTTTTTTTTTCCCGAAACGACAGAGATAATATCATAAAAACTCAACGAGGACATAGTCCTAATACATTGTTCAGAGTACAATGGAAATTCGAAAATAAAAAGTGAGAGACACATCCTAGATGGTCTAGAACCTCAACAAGAGGAAATAAACTGAAATAGACAGTAAATCCAAAGAACAATCTCCTTCTACTGCTAAAAGCCTAGAAAGGGAGTTGAACTCCAAAAAAGAAGAACAAGCAAAAAACTAAACAAAGATAAATCAAGCCAACAGTCCTAAAGCTGAGGTGAAGTGTGTCCAGTCTGAATGAGCCACCTTAATCACAGCTACTGCTGGCATCATGGAGCTCTGAAATACCCACAAGTTCCCTGACTTCCAAAGCCACCAAAGGATGTATGTGGATAGCTGAATTCTAGCTTCAACAACTTCAGAATGATCAAGGGAGCATATCTTGAACCACCACAATTTGAAAGAATCAGTGCAGTCAGCAATTCCATCCCATGACACTGGAGAAAGGTCCCAGACTCTTTTTGCTCTTGTACAATTCAGCAGTGCATGCTCAATAGTTTCAGAAGAGTCTCCACACACAGAACAGATGTGATCAATGTTAATTTTCCTCTTTTTAAGCAAACTAGCAACTGGTAATGTACCTGTGATGCACTTCCAGAGGAAGTGTTTGAGCTTTCCAGCAACTTTAACTTTCCAAAGTCTGCATTGCACTGCTTTTGAAATATTTGAACTGGAGCTACTCTCAGGGATGTCTAGCTGAGCAAGTTAATGCTAGACAATTGCTTATAGGCACTGGACACAGTAAACTGACCTTTTTTATCAAGTCCCCAATGAAGCCTATCTGACCTGTCAGGATGGAGGGATGAAATGCTTAAAATAGCTTCACTGTCATTGTTATCAAAGACTTGCTTTACTAGCCATTCATTCCAAGAAGCTCCATCTGAGTTCAGCAAATCCTTAACCCATATGAGGTGTCCTCTAGCAATTGGCAATAGAGTGGGGGATGGTTTTGAAAGCTTTGGCACCCAATTAAAATCTGCAATTTGAGTAGATATTCCATTTCTAATCTCAGTCTTCAACCATTTTGCAAAAAAAGGAATCACCTGCACCCATGAGTTCCACATCCAGGATCCCTTCTGAGATTTGGTGGCATGAGTGATGGCTGTTTGAGGGAAATATCTATCTTTCAATAATCTACTCACAAGAAGCTCTAGGTTTGAAGCTATTCTCCAGAGCTGCTTACAAATTAGTGCTTGATTGAAGAGTTGCAGATCCAAAAAACCCAAACCTCCATTTTCTTTAGGCAGAGACAGGTTGTTCCACTTCTTCCAATGAATTCCCTGGGTTTGGTCATTTGTTTGCCACCAGTAATTAGCACAGAGTTGTGAAATTTCAGCACAAAGGGTAACTGGCAATTTGAAACATGACATAGTGAAAATAGGTAAAGCTTGAGCAACTGATTTGAGGAGCACTTCCTTCCTAGCTGGACTTAGAAGTTTGGACTTCCAGCTTTGCAATTTGCTTTTGACAGAATGAAGTAGGTACTCAAATACTTCCTTTTTGGATTTTCCAATTCCCAATGGCAGTCCCAAGTATCTGGTGGATCTATGGGTTGTTATTCCATTGAAAGTAGAACAAATAGAATGCTGGAGTGGCAAAGGAGTATTCCTGCTGAAAAATATTGCTGACTTGCTCATGTTAACTGCTTGACCAGTAAAGAGTCTATATTTTTCAAGCAAGTTCATTAGAATGCCTGCTTGATCAGAGCCTGCTTTGCAAAAGAAGATAGAGTCGTCAGCAAATAAAAGGTGAGTAAGCAATGGACCATTTCTGGAGAGCCTTAGGCCTTTAAGCTGACCAGATGCAACTGAATGAAGAATTAAGGCAGTAAGCAGCTCAACCACTATTATAAAAAGATAAGGAGACAGTGGATCTCCTTGTCTTATGCCACGAGAAGGAGTGACATAACTGCTTAAAGTTCCATTGATTTTGAAAGAGAATGATGTAGTTGAGATACAGGTCATAATCCATTTGACAAAGTCTCTATGAAAGCCCATCTGTATCATTATATCATGAACACATCTCCACTCAACTCTATCAAACGCTTTAATCAAATCCAGTTTGAGGGCCATGAAAAAATTAGATCCAGAAGAGTGCCTGTTTAAAAAGTGAAAAGCCTCCTGGGCAACAATCACATTATCCATCAGCTGTCTTCCCTCAACAAATGCAGATTGGAAGTTACTTATACAAAATGGGAGGCAAACCTTCAATCTCTGAGCTAAAACTTTGGAAATGACTTTGTAAACCACAGTGCAAAGGCTTATTGGCCTAAACTGACTCATAGTTTCAGGGTTCAAGCACTTAGGGACTAGAGAAAGGACTGTGTGATTCCAGTATTTTAGAAGTGTACCTGTTTGAAAGAAACTTTGAATAGCACTAAGAAGATCATGTTTTATCAGATCCCAGAAATGCTGATAGAAGGTTGAGGTCATGCCTTCTTCCCCCGGTGCTTTATCAGATGGTAAGTAAAATAATGCAGATTTAACTTCTTCCTCAGACACTTGTTTCACAAGAGCTTCATTCATCTCAGTTGTTACAGTTTGAGGTATCAGGTGAAGGATTGAATCTCCTCCTCTGCTGCCATCTGAAGTAAAGAGATTATTGTAGAAATCTGAAATGTGATGCTCCATTGCTCTCTGAGAGGTCATAATTCTACCCTGAGGATCTACAAACCTGGTGATTGCATTTAGTCTTCTCCTCTGCAGAGTAAAAGCATGAAAAAATCTTGTATTGGCGTCTCCTTCCTTAAGCCATCTTTGCCTTGATTTCTGCTGCCAATAGATTTCTTCATGGAGATGAGCTTTGTTTAATGCCATTTTAGTAGATTCCCAGTTTTCCCAGTTGACCCCTGCTTTGTCATTATTCAGCTTATCCAATTTTTGAGTGAGTTCTGCAATGAGGGCTTGATTTTGAGTCTGAAGGGTGGAACTCCACTTAAGCAGTGCCAATCTTGTTAATTTGATCTTCTCTTTCAATCTTAAAAAAGGAGTACCAGTGACTGAGGTTAGCCAGGCTTTTTTCACAGTTTCTTCAAACCCCTCTTTCCCTATCCACCTCTTATCAAAGTGGAATCTACCATGTTTCTTTTCCCCAAGAAGACCCATATCAAACAAAAGAGCAGAGTGATCAGAAGAACTTCTCAATTTATTATGCACTGAAGAATTAGGATAGTGAAGTAGCCAGTCTGAGGATCCAAAGGCTTTATCAATCTGTTCCTCCACTAACTCAGAATTTGATCTGTTGTTGCACCAAGTAAAGGGGTAACCCTGAAGTCTGATCTCTTCCATCCCCATTAGATTAATAAAAGTATGGAAGGGTTGAAGACTGTTCTGACTCCTGGGAATGCCTCCTGATTTTTCTGAGTTTGAGCAAATATCATTCCAATCACCAATGGCAAACCAGCAATTGCCCCAAAGGGTCTTTTCTTGTAGAAGTTTGTTCCATTGATCAGCTCTGGATGTTCTGCAGGGACTTAAATAAACAAAAATACCCCATTGGGGGCTTTGAGAGGGAAGAGAAAAGTGCACTGTTATATAGAAATCATTACACAGAACCTGAAAGATTACAACACTAGAATCCCAAAATAAAGCTAAACCCCCCCTGAGACCAATGGGGTCAACAATAGCTATTCTATCAGCATAACCTAATTTCTTACTTATACAATTCACATAAGATTTTGTTTTTTTTGTCTCAGAAAGGAAAAAAAGTGTGGGTGGTGAGCTTTAATCAGCTCTCGCATTTGGGAAACTGTAGAGGGCCCACCCATCCCTCTACAATTCCACACCACAGCTAACATTGCTCTTGGTGGTGCCACTCTAGGCTGGCAGCCCCCACCTTCTCTACTTGTGACTTGCTTTTTTTGGAAACTGATTGATTAGGGAGAGAACTTTGCTCAGGAGATGCTTGTTCTTCTTCAGTGTCTCTTGGCCTTTTCTCCTTGGTAGCCTGGGATGGAATTGTAAGGATAGGTAAGACAGGTGGATTCCTGAGTAACCTTCCATCTTTGCTTCTGTCTCTTCTCCAAGTTTTCAGATTCTGAGTTGAGGAAGAGATCAAATTATTATGGACTATGAACTCTGATGGTTCTGGCAACAACCTTGCATCAACTTCCATATCTTTCCCAGCTTCAACTATTTGCAATGAGGCTTCCGTCATGGATTTTTGATGAGTGAGGACAGGAGTTGCAGATGTGCAGGAGTCTTGAGCTTTTTCTACTGATTTAGTAGGTGAACTTTGTGGCATTGGGATGATCTGCTGGCTAGTCTCAGCTTGTTGGGAATGAGCATGTGGTGGTGATCTCTGGTCATTTGGGACAGGAAAGTCTGGCTGGGGAGAGCCTCTAGAGCCTGAGTTATGATGTTCAAACCATCTTTGAGTGTCATGAGCTTTCATAAAGTCCCCATTTTTACCTTCCTTCAAAGAGTTACTGTTGATGTTTGCAAATCTCTTAGAGCAAGTTCTGTCTAGATGCCCAATCTTGCCGCAGTAATGACAAAGGTTTAACAGTTTTTCATATTTAAATCCAACTTTGACCGCTTGCTCTCCCAACCTTATGCTGGCAACCCTTGGCAATGGTTCCTCTAGGTCAAGGGTAACTAGCAGTTTCATAATTTTCCCTCCATGATTCCCAGCGTTGGCTAAAACTACATTCTTAACATGTTTGAAAGCTTTGCCAATTTTCAATCCCACTTCTGTGCTTAACCAATTTAAGGGTACATTAGTGACTTGAACCCAAATATTCAGTTCATTGAAACAAGAATGCTTACTTGAAATCCCTGTTCTCCATTCCTTGAGGACAAGATATTGGTTCTCAAAGCTCCAGTGTATACCAGCTGAGACTTTCAGTAAGTCTTCTTTACTTTGGAAGATAAACTGAAAATAGTTTGGGCTGAGTTCTTTAATTTCCATCGATTGATTGAGCCGCCATATATTGGACATTGTTCTCTTGACGCCAATCCAACTCGCAGCGCGGTCTCCAATAATTTTCCCAAAAAGACTCCTGCTACATTCATCAGCACTGAGTGTGATGTCTGTGTGAGCAATGTCTATGAATTTTGCTTCGTTTTCAGAAAGAGAGAATCTTTCTAATTGATCAGATAGCTTGTCGTCTTGTGCGCTTGCCATTTTTTCCAAACCCTAATCCCCAAATCCGGAACACGGAGAACTATGGCAAAACTAGTATCAAAGAAAGGGGATTACGATGAGGAAGATGAAATGAAACTAAAGAAGCCAAAACCGAGATTCCAAAGGAAGATAGCAACCGAAAATGGAAAGCTCCCACCAGAGAGAATAGCGTCGTCGCTCCCACCAGAGAGAATTATTTGTTGTTCATGAATTGGTTAAGTTAGAGGAATTGATTTTATCATGACTGCAATTATAGATAGATGCGAAAGCGAAAGCGAAAGCCTATGGGGTCACCACCTAGTGTATTTGTATATTTTTATGTATTAATTATAATATATAATGTACGTAGTTTTTAGACATGATATTCACTCTTTTTCCTCATGGGTTTTTATAAATAAAGACTTAACTAAAGATTTGGATATTTCGTTGGACTCTAAAATGTAGAAGCATCATAGTACATTTTCTCAATTTTCTCTAATTCACAACAAATAATGAAAATGCTAGTATGATAAATTGAAAGTAATTATAATATCACAATACTAAAATCTCCAAAGAAAAAAAATGAGAATGCAACAATATGATAAACTTTAAATTAATTATAATATTATTGCTGAATAACAATTTTATTTGAAACACATACAAATGACATATAAATTAGTGGCATGCTTTAATCTACATAATTTGTGATTAAAAGGGACCAACAAATTAGAACGTGATGCTCCAAGATAGCATCACCAACATGAAACTATGAATACTCTTGTAATAAATAAATTTATATGTGTAGATGATATAGAATAATAGGATGAGATTAATATTATATAAATGAAAAATGACTGTATATGGGCCTTGTTTGGCGATCAGTAGATAGCAGTTAGCGGATAGCAGATTGTATCAGCGGATACGGGATAGCGGATTATATTAGCTGATTTGACCAGCGGATTGCATTAGCGGTTTTAAATAAGTGTTTGGTAAATAGCTGAAAGCTTATAGCTGTTCGACATTGCAAAATGATCAATAATGACATTTTATTATTTAGGGTAAAATATTTGATATTATTTAGTTGGTAATTTATAAATATATTATTTTTTAAAAAAAAAAAATTTACTAACACTTGATGAAGATGTTATGAATTTTATATTTTTCTAGATAAATTAATCATATGGATGACATATTATTATTTATTAGCACAATAAACCAATGTAGATTGTAAATATATAATACAAATTAAAAAGTTCCAAGTAAATGATTTTTGTGAATCCTCTATCCCAAAAAGCTGCTCTAATGAGCTTTTTCTAAATTAGAGTTTTGGGCCCAAAAAGCTTATCAAATAAGCTATTTACCAAACATGCTTAATAGCGGATTTGACGGGTCAAACCTCTCAATTAAGTCAAATCCGCTAATTTATCTTCAATCTGCTATCTTCCAAACGGGGGAGAAAACGGACTGTATATGACTAAGAGAACTTATTTATAAAGAATTTAAATCTATAATTATATTAAAAGAATAATCTTTTATGCATTGCCGCCAAAAATTCCCGCCAATTATGTATAGATATTCACTCGCTAATCTATCATTAAAAGTGTATATCCTAAAACATAGTAAATATCTTTCCTTTTTTTTTTTTAGATAGATAGGGTAACAAATCACCTGATTTTTTGGTACTAAATGCGCCATTGATAATTTTAATGAATAAATGCGGCGTTAGTTTTTCTGATGGTTCCATTTTTCCTATTTTATAGGTTAACAAAATAATAGATTTTGTTGATTTGTTTCCCTTTAAAAACCGGCTTTTGTGATATTTTCCTTTTTTCTATTTTTTAGGTTAACAAGATAACAGATTGTGTTGAAACTGTATGTAATCAAATTTTGTTAAATGGAAGTAACGCCATAATAATAATTTTGAAATTGTATGTAATTAAATTAGGCTGATAATATTTTAGATACTTTAAACAAATTGTTTAGATATTTTTTTTACATATTCGTCTATATATATATATACACACGTCTATATAAATACACACATATATACATAATTGATGTTAAATTTAAATATCCGTAGACATGTCTTCTTTACAAAATAGTCTAGAAATTTTTTTTTTACACAATGTTAAATTCAAATGTTTTTAGATATGTTTTCCTTCTAAAATTGTTTAGAAAAGTTGTAGGTGACTTCACATCTTTCAAAAATAATATAGAAATTTTGAATACTTTCACATATACTAATAAAATATTTTAGGTGTTTTAATATTAAACATCCAAATTTTATATTCTCTTATACAAAATAATGCAAATTTTATATTCTCTTATACAAAATAATGTTATATTGTTTGGCCCCCAATCTTTAATTTATAATTATTAAGTATCGTTTATCCTCCTCTTTAATTTATAATTATTTTTTTTCTTCCTCTTTTTAAATAGGATCAATAGTAGTTTTCACTTCCGCCATTGAGTAACTAAAACTCGAGGTCTATTTATAATATTGTTGATTTAATATTGTTTTCGTGCATTGCACGGGGTACACACTAGTATATATAAATAGAGAACTTATTTACCAGACATAGTAACAAAAAAGTCAACCAGTATTTATTGCATTATATTTTTGGCAGTTTTTGAATTTTCTTTTTAAATTATTCCTAAAAATTGATCAACTATATATGCACCCTAAATTCATGGATTTTGTGTAATTAATTTAGGTAAATTTCGACTAATGCTGACAATTTTGCAAAAGTCAAAATTATTTCTCATTTTTTATCAAAAAAATGTATTGCCATAATATTGCAGTTTTCGAATTAGGAAATATACTATCACATATATCTTTTCTTAATTGCAACAAATTAATTGTTTATTAAAAAAATCAGGTTGCAGAGAAATCGGGTTAGTTTAGGTAAAATTCGACATGACAATTTTGTAAAAGTCAAAATTCTCTCGTTTTTTATTAAAAATATGGTTTACCATAAATCAAAAATTTCGAATTAGATAAAATACTATAACATATATATTTACCTAATTGCAACAGATTATGTTTATTAAGAAAAACAGATTTCATAGTAATCGGATCCAATTTCAAATTGAAAATTAAAATTAAAATTCTCTTATCATTTGACTACTACTTTCTTTAATTCAGATTTATTTTAACATAAAACAGAGTCAGATAATATTAATTTGAAAATAAAATCGGATTGGAACATTCTAAAAATAATAAGACTATATATTATCAAAAAAACATTTTACAATCTCCGTTATATTTGGCTATGCAATTTTCATAAAAGCATAATATCATATTATATATATTATAGCTAAATAGTTTTAAAATTCCTTCAGATTTTATTGCAATGACGCGGTGGGTTGGCACGTTGGCTATTTCTACCACCTAGATGGACCCTAGGCAAATCTGTAGAGTAAGAAACGAAAATCCCTAGTCCCAAACTCTCATATCTAGAATCCTAATATAATTTGTGGCGATAAACGATGCACCAAAAGACCAACAAATAATGTGTGTGTACAAGGATGTGTTTAATAATATATAAGTTATATTTTGTTTTATTTCAATATATGCGTTTTACGTTCTTCCAATCATCCAAATCTAAATGATTACCTTAATATAACTAGCCCGTGCATTGCACAGGTACCGCAGTAATATAGGTGTATAGGTGTACTGATTTTCAATTAATATAATAATATTACATTTATACCTTTAAAGAAAATTACGTTTCTTTTTCTTGAGGGTCGTATTGGCAATTTAAACTTTCTTGAGGGTCGTATTGGCAATTTAAACTTTTATTTAAATGTGGTTGAATAAGCTACAAATCATCATTACCAACCCTAATTTAAAATCACAAATTAAATTTATGTCTTTAAAAATAACATCTTTTGAGGGTAGTGTAAGCAATCCAAAAAATTCAAGAAATCGCTCATTCTTCTAAGAGAGTTATAGACAAATTATAGATAAATGTAATCATGTTTTCGTACATGTTAATTAGCTACTACAAAGTGAATTGTTATCATGAATTCAGCCGATACAAAAATTTTCACGAGGCTAGGAAAAAAAAGTTTAGAAAATGCTTTTCCTTATAACAATATTGTACGTGATGTGCCACCCGGGACAAAGCTAGCTTGTGCAGGATGAATCAAGTTAGGCCGGGAACCCTTCATTCGATTCACCAAAATTTTAGTGAATAGTTTGTGTTGTGCACAAATTGTTATTTTTACCAAGTACCGAATCGAAATATTCGTTCCCCGGGCCAATCTCACGAGGAAGGCAATTCGGAATTTAGCTTTGGTATTGACAACACATAAAGAGGAAAACAAATCCTAAACACTTTAATAAGATAAGGGTTTTCAATAATTATCAATTAAGAAATAATAAGAAGCATGAATCTACCTACATATATAAACGAAACATATATGAAGAAGCTAGGGAGTCGAGGATAATCAATTCAAGTTCTATTCGCAAAACCGGGACATTAATCGTTCTATTTCAGATTGACGCTCTCGCTCAGACATAGCGGTTCGCTCCCAATAACTCTTCGTAACAAGGGATTGAACATAGACGGGCAAGCTCGAGCATACACACAGACCAATTATCCCAATCCCAATAACTTTTCGTAACAAGGGACGGGTCATTGACAAGCACGTATTTCAATCCAAAACCTATAGACTATTCAATTACGAAATCATCTACCTCATGCGGGCCTAGGTCTACGACTTCTCCCCTTTCGGTTCTAAAAGTTGCTAATTCAATTAGAAGGTGTTTAATCAACTAATCATTTAGAATCAACAAAACCCTAACTCGACTAATCAACATTCAATCGTTTCCAATTGCAAGATCGAAGTGTCACTCCTCGATTATATCAATCAATCAAACAAGATTTCATCAATTCCGAATTAAATCAACCCACACAAGTACGAACGAATCAAAGCTCGACAATTACAATTCAAACAAGAACAATCATCACCTATACCTAGCAATCAGAATTAGCTACAT